CCCCCCCCCTTGTCTCCCTCGAAGCACAACTTGTACTTAAGACTTCCGTCCCACGGGAACCCTAACCAAGCCGCGGAAAAGTTTATCAGCGTGACGGTATATTGGTGACCGCGAAGGTATCGACATGCCCGGGTCATGATGACGATGTACAAGACAATGAGACCAATGCTATAAGGATGGTAAAAACATTGTGGATAAACATTCACTGTTCTTCTTTCCCCCCCCGACCAGAATGGGCAGGTATCCTGCCATGGGATCAAATCATGATACGATTCTACCTACAGCAACGAAACAGAAGGATTGTACCCACATGTTGCGGTGCACGCTTCGACGGAGTCGTGCCCTGATGATAAACAAGAACTTTCCAACTTCCGCAATGCTTGGTACTTGATGCCTGAGTCAGAGACAGTCAGAAACGAAAAGGTGTAACACGACAAACAATCCCTTTCGGCCTGGTACGTCGACCGGACAAATGGCACTTTTCACGCGTAGTAGATGATGCCATGCATAGGGCCAGATTGCTCTGTTGTGAAGCCACCATCCATCGGCCACACGATCTCCCGTTCTCGAAAATGAACAATAACGGGTTAATTACACTCGATCGCTGTGGCATGACTCATTGGCCTCTCGACGTGCATCATCTCTGCCCTCGGCTTGCGTCGCAAAGCCCCCGTCGCAAGTGCAAACCCTACTATCTGCATGCGCACTTCTTTTTGTGTGTGTATACAAAACGTTTCATGTCCTCTGTATTCTAAATGGAGCGACGGCAGAGCGAATCGACTCCTGGGAACTGCATACGTGACGGACCTATCTGGACAGCGTTGTACAATCCCAATCCCGGTCATCCGGGTGGGGTGTTGGAAAGAAGAGAAGCAGCGATAGAAAAAACCAAGTATCGTTTTCGGCTGAACCTGTTGTTCTCAGTGATCCACTTCTCTTGTACATTTAAAACGTGAGTGAAACGAGGAGGGTCTGTAGGCGACACCGCTGTGCAGCTGCCACGCCGTACGTAGCAGCGATGAAAGCGTCATGCTTGACTGGGCATCTCAAAGCTACCTCAACCATCAGTGACTACGGCAACGGCCACCGCGACGGATGAAACCAGCAGATACGTGAACCTCGCCACGGGTCCGTAGGCCCTCCTGCCATCGGCCCCACTGAAGTCGTCGTCGTCTACCACCCCAAGCGGGGCAGGCGTCGGGGCTGGTGGTGGGTTGGGCTCCGCGGACCCTGTGAGAGATGTTCGTCACCGGGTGAATATCGCCGAAAAAGGAGTGAAATTCGTGCACAGCCCAAGCACCAGGAGCTCAAGCGAACAAGCTCTGAACAAGCTGAACGAGCTGCACCCAGAGCAGGGCGTAGTGCCGGTGGGCGCACAGCGGTGTTCATATTGCACCCTATGTGTTCTCATTACGACACACAGCCTAGTGATGAATAGGAGCCCATCCTGCTCCCGTGCTCCTTTTGCCTAGCAAGATTCTTCGGAGTAAAACTTCTCACAAGTTCATGCGATATTTAGGTCTGCCACATTGCACTTGCGGTGTGCGTTCCTCCAGCGAATGGCCAGAGGTATGAGGGGTACCCGTGCGTGAGCCTGGCGTGATACGATTACCGTGCGTGGCGCCTCGCGTCTTGTTGTTTTCCCTTTCAGGGTTGCCGCAGGACTTTCAATGGACAGGTGAGAAGTGGGTCGGTGTGTCACTCTCTCTTTTCCTCGCTGGTACAATCGGCAAAACAACATTTGTGGCCAATCTCACTCTTTCTGTCTCTCTCTAAAATACTGTACCTCTGGCAAAAACGATCAACCCAAACCTACGACTGACATGCCATGCTATTTACGAGAACTTCTTACCCATGTAGAAGGAACAATCCATTTGGTCCTGGGTGGCGATTTGGTCCACGTCGTCGCCTTCAATAAGATCGCTGTCCATGTACGGTGTGTCTAGATATAATGATGCGTAACTCTGTTCGATGGAGTCCAAGAGTTGGTGTATTCGTGACGGGGATCAGGGAAGCCGAGGGAAGGAACAATGCTTCAACGAGAGGAAGCTCTGCCAACGGAACACTCGTGGGTAGTGGTCGCCTTACGCGTGCGATGGCTATAACTACTGTAGGAACTCCTAACGTCGGCCGCGTGTTCTTCTCACGATCGAGCATTTGGGGGAAAAGGAAACTTCAGTGTATCTCAAACACGTTGACGGTGTGTTGCCGCGAGACCGATCCCGTTGTCGATGTGGAGCTTCGCGAAGAACGCGAAAGGCCGCGTCCTGGTATTCATGGATGGATGCACTCGAAGGCTTCCCAACACAAAATTATTAATGGACTGTACCCTGGGCGATTGAAAAGAAACACGGAGCAGGAAAGATGTACAGTCAAGTAGAGCAACCGCCGGCTCTTCGTGCGGCAGAGATAAAAAGTGTTCGGACACCGAGTGTAGTGTAGCGTCGTTCTTACTTGACCCGCGGTAAAGTCGTTGGTGTATCCAATCACAGCACCGAGTTCCTCGATGCAGTCCTGCACCGTGCTGTGGCACCTGGTAAAAAATAATAAATCCATTAAACCAGTCGGGTGCGAGGGTGCGAGGAGGGGGTGGTTGCTTGTGAGAGGGGGGCAGAATGATTCCACAAACAGGGGGTCACCTGTTTTTCCAGTCGGAGACTTTCCCAACACCGGCCGCCGACAGCGGCGGCGACGAAAAGCGCCATACCCTTCCGCGCGTGCGGTCTCTAGACATTGTGAAACAGACGTATGTGCGTACGTTCTCGTTTCGCTTTATCATGAAAGGCATGTGTTCGGCGTATGCCAAAAGCTCGTGATCAACACAGAACAGGGTTTTTTCTGCAAGGTAGATACAGAACAACAGACGCATAGTCTAGTGTTAATTTTGCCATTGGCGGTGACAATGGTGCATCATCACACCGGACTGTTTTGACCGGTATTCGTTCACAAAATGTGGCGTTCTGCAACAGCGGAGGTGGCGGTGCTGCTGTAGCTCGTAGACTTTGTCGTCTATCACAGAGGTTACACGGCTGTGAGATCGGTAGGCCCGAGCGAGCTTCGGAAGAGAATGGTAGATAGATGTTCTTATCAACTGACTCCCTGGTCAGGCTTTGATGGGTGCTAGATGAGAGTGAGCACAAGGGGCGAAGGCGCGCTTGTGTCTCAGCTCAACAACAAAAACAAGAAACAAGCAGCAAACACAGCAGGTTCCGAGGGTCTCCGGGGTATGGGCCCGGGTACCGGAATTTCGAGGTTCGGAACAAGAAAACAACTACAGTCTCGCCTGCCAAATTATCTCCGCTACAACTCTGTGCTCATGTTCTCTGCGAAGTGCCATCTCTTATTATTGTATTATGTCTACGGAAGGCTAGTTGCCGCAGTCGCACCTATGGTAAACTGTCCTGGGTTTTCGAAAAATTCTGACCTGTGACTCTGACATGAAAAAGTGCGGCGTAACCTCTCGTGTCAAAATTCTGACGTCTCGTGTCGAAATTTTGGTCTCGTGTCAAAATTTCGTGCTCGTGTCAAAATTCCTGACACACGTGGGACCCATGTAATAATCGGAAATTTTGGACTGAGATAGATTGACACCAAAACAAGTGACGGTTGGCAAATTGACACGAAAAAAGGTAACGGTTGGTAAATGACACGAAAAAATATTCCGCCGCACGTTGCCTGGCGAAGGCCAGCAGCGGCGCAGCCTCAAGTGAAAAAATTCAACCCCAGCTGCACCGCTGCACCGCCGGGAAACCCAACGGTCGCGCTCCCTCATCACCGCACCCGACACGGAGCGAGTGGATGGCGCGCCTTGCCCGAGGTAGAATCCGCTACGAGTGGTATGATGAGTGCATGCAGGTTCTACTGCTTGCTGTGTTGTGCGCGCTTGCTGGAGAGGAGGACATGTTCCTCGTGATGGCCATGTTTGGCGTAGCAAAGCTGGAGACATGTTTCCTCTCGACTCCCGAGAACTACACTCCGCGAACTACACTTCCCCAAATCCCAACCGCCGCCAGCGGCTTCGCGCCCCTAGTACGTGCGCCCAGAGCTACCGTCTCTTCCACCAACAACTGCTGTAACCTCTCCCTTCACGGGCAGGGCACCCGACTAGCTGCTGTTGTTGTGGTTATCTCCCGTGTGCTTCGAGTCCAGAGTCCAGACAGACCAACCTCGGCGTGTTTTGTTCTCGATCCCGCGATGAACGCACACGATCCTAACCGCGGCTTGACGTTCCCCTAACGCGATGTACTCCCGGGAGCGTTGTGTTCACGTGTGTGGGTGTGCGGGAAGCTGCGTGCGAGCTTGCCGACTGAGTTGATGCCTTCGTGTGTGTGCGATGGCGCTCGTGTCAATTTGTCTCTATCTCAGTCCAAAATACCTCAGGTGAAAATATTTTGACCACGTTTTCGAAAAATTTTGACCTGTAATTCTGACATGAAAAAGTGCGGCGTAACCTCTCGTGTCAAAATTCTGACGTCTCGTGTCAAAATTTTGGTCTCGTGTCAAAATTTCGTGCTCGTGTCAAAATTCCTGACACACGTGGGACCCATGTAATAATCGGAAATTTTGGACTGAGATAGATTGACACCAAAACAAGTGACGGTTGGCAAATTGACACGAAAAAAGGTAACGGTTGGTAAATGACACGAAAAAATATTCCGCCGCACGTTGCCTGGCGAAGGCCAGCAGCGGCGCAGCCTCAAGTGAAAAAATTCAACCCCAGCTGCACCGCTGCANGTTGGTAAATTGACACGAAAAAATATTCCGCCGCACGTTGCCTGGCGAAGGCCAGCAGCGGCGCAGCCTCAAGTGAAAAAATTCAACCCCAGCTGCACCGCTGCACCGCCGGGAAACCCAACGGTCGCGCTCCCTCATCACCGCACCCGACACGGAGCGAGTGGATGGCGCGCCTTGCCCGAGGTAGAATCCGCTACGAGTGGTATGATGAGTGCATGCAGGTTCTACTGCTTGCTGTGTTGTGCGCGCTAGCTGGAGAGGAGGACATGTTCCTCGTGATGGCCATGTTTGGCGTAGCAAAGCTGGAGACATGTTTCCTCTCGACTCCCGAGAACTACACTCCGCGAACTACACTCCCCAAATCCCAACCGCCGCCAGCGGCTTCGCGCCCCTAGTACGTGCGCCCAGAGCTACCGTCTCTTCCACCAACAACTGCTGTAACCTCTCCCTTCACGGGCGGGGCACCCGACTAGCTGCTGTTGTGGTTATCTCCCGTGTGCTTCGAGTCCAGAGTCCAGACAGACCAACCTCGGCGTGTTTTGTTCTCGATCCCGCGATGAACGCACACGATCCTAACCGCGGCTTGACGTTCCCCTAACGCGATGTACTCCCGGGAGCGTTGTGTTCACGTGTGTGGGTGTGCGGGAAGCTGCGTGCGAGCTTGCCGACTGAGTTGATGCCTTCGTGTGTGTGCGATGGCGCTCTTGTCAATTTGTCGTTTTCTCGTGTCAAAATACCTCAGGTGAAAATGTTTTGACCACGTTTTCGAAAAATTCTGACCTGTGGCTCTGACATGAAAAAGTGCGGCGTAAAATAACCTCTCGTGTCAAAATTCTTACTCTCGTGTCAAGNATTTCGGGGTTCGGAACAATAAAACAACTACAGTCTCGCCTGCCAAATTATCTCCGCTACAACTCTGTGCTCATGTTCTCTGCTGAGTACCATCTCTTCTTTCTGTGTTATGTCTACGGAAGGCTAGTTGCCGCAGTCGCACCTATGGTAAACTGTGCCTGACTACGTTGTAACAGTTTTCCTCGACACGACCCCTCGATTAGGCAAGTAGCCGATGTGCCAAAAAGAAAAAAAAAAGAAAAGCTTCACTTCGCTGCCATTTTTTGCGACCCCTCAATTCCCAATCCATATCAAAGAATATCGACCTCCACATGAGTGAATCCATTCTGTGAGCAATACACGCGTTCAAAGCATTCAACCATGCCATGCGATCTTGTGCTTAAAATCTTCTGGCATTTGTAGTCCTTGATGAGTTGCATGATGGTGGCGAATCGCTGCTTCGGGAGATGTTTCGTCGCGATGTCCGCCAACATCGTGGCACTAGGTTGGTGGTGAAGAGTGATCCGGTGCCCCTTCGTGAGTTCGCTGAGGAAGAAGAACCGGAGCGCGATGTGCGTGGTTCTAGAGCAGAACATCGCGTTGCTGGCCACAGTCAATGCTCCGGTGCTGTCGCTGTTGATGGGTACCGATCGAAAGGTCTTGAATCCGATTTCCGTCATGAAGTTGGAGATGTAGACTGCCTCGCGAGCACTGAAGCTCAGCGCTTGAAGTTTGGCCTCCACGGTGTTCTGTGCTGCGAGAGTCTGTGCCTTGGCTCCGTAGCTGATCAGTCCCCCTCCTAGGAAGAACAGGTATCCGGTGGTAGACCTGCCGTTGTCTGGGTTGACTCCAAATGAGCCAGTGAAGCACGAGAGTCTGACCTGCCCCTTCTTGTACACGATCGGCAGGTCCGGCGTTCCGCGTAGGTACCGTAGTAGGTGCTTGGCCGCAGCCATGTGGACCTGTGCTGGGTTTGCGCATGCCCGTGTCAGTTNTCAGTCCCCCTCCTAGGAAGAACAGGTATCCGGTGGTAGACCTGCCGTTGTCTGGGTTGGCTCCAAATGACGAGTCAGTGAAGCACGAGAGTCTGAACTGCCCCTTCTTGTACACGATCGGCAGGTCCGGCGTTCCGCGTAGGTACCGTAGTAGGTGCTTGGCCGCAACCATGTGGACCTGTGCTGGGGTTGCGCATGCCCGTGTCTGTTGGAGCACTGCGTATGACAGATCGTAGCGGGTGCATTGGGCAAGGTACAGGAGACTCCCGGTGATGGCCTGGAATCTCTGCTTGTCCTCGGGTCCGAGCAGTTGGTCTTGTGGCTGCTCGGTTGATAGTTCTGCTCCATACCCGGGGGTGCTGACCGGGTTTGCCTGTTCCATTCCGTATCGCTGTAGAATATGTCTCGGGTAGGGTCCTTGCAATACNAATCTCTGCTTGTCCTCGGGTCCGAGTAGTTGGTCTTGTGGCTGCTCGATCGATTGATAGTTTTGCTCCATACCCGGGGGTGCTGACCGGGTTTGCCTGTTCCATTCCGTATCGCTGTAGAATATGTCTCGGGTAGGGTCCTTGCAATACGGCTAGTGCGCCATGTTCGTAGTCCCGCTGCACTTCGATGCCGATTACGCGCTTGACCTCTCCCATGTCTGTCATTTCGAAGCTGTCCATGAGTTCCTTCTTTTTCCTGTTGACGATCTCCTTCTTTCCGCCCGTGATGAGTATGTCATCGACTTAGATCGCGAGGATTGTGAGTTCGTCCCCGCTTACGAAGATGTAGACACAGGGGTCAGAGTGAGTGCGCTGCCAGCCGAAGTTGATGAGTCGGTCATTGATGGTGCCGTTCCATGAATGAGGGGGGATGGTGTTGGGTGGAGTCTCGACGAAAGTCACGTTCCGGCTCTCGTAGACCTTGTCTTTGCCCTCCACGTCGATCCGGTACGTCTTGCTGTCAGGTCCGTAACCGCAGAGCTTGCCTTCAAAGGCCCGATCGTCTAGCTTCTTCTTGTATCGCTCGTGATGAACGAACGCGCGGGCGCCGATGGCACGAAGTCGAGAAAGGTCCGGGGTTGTGTTGTACATCTTGGAATACGGCGTGGCTCCCCCTAGCGCCGCGTGTGGGGTCCTGTTGGTCAGGTATGCTGCAGTCATCATGAGCTCCCCCCACATGTGTTTTGGGAAGTCTCCATCGCGCAGTAGAGCTCGAGTCACAGCCGCAAGTGTCTGGCCATCCCTTTCTGACACTCCGATTTCTTGGGGCGTGTTGGTCGCGGCGAATTCCAGCTTGATCGCAGACTCCCTACAGCAGTTGCGCATTTCTTCCCCAGTGTTCTCTCCCCCATGGTCACAGCCTAGAACCTCGATGCGGTAGCCTTCAGATGCTACTTGCATGTTG